TACACGTTTGCTGGGAAATATGCCTGGAGCATTATGCAAATTATTTATGTACTTTATTGGGAAATACGCACAGCATTATGCACTCGTATGTATAAAAGTATATGTACATTTTGTACTAACAGTCTGGTTCTATACCCTTGATTTATTGTTACTTTGCTTTCTTACTTATAGTACATTTACTGTCGCATTCTTCACGTTACAATTAACATGTAAACAATTTAAATCATGGCCTTATCAATTTAATTTCCTGTTTGAGGATCACCTACTGAAGCATTCGTGAAATGGTATGAAATGTTATGAAGCAAAGCGGCGTGTTCACTTGTTAGCAGTTGCGGTAATTTTCTAATCACATGTACATAATCAATCAAGAGCAGTCTACTCTGTATCGGCTTTTGTGGTGCGTTAGGTTTTTTATTTAATACAGAATAAAAGACGTCGATCAACCAAAGAGGCTCTGTTTTCAGGTAGGCCGTGGTATAAATTGCAAATTAGGATACATGTAGTGTGTATTGATCACCATGCATGTAGATCAGGAGCAATTTATTTGATATAAAACTTTTTAATCTGATATTGAAAATTATATTGGAGAAGAAAAAAAGAGAAGATCAAAAGACATGAAGCGGAGAGCTACTTATAGAAGTGGTTAAATGGGCCACCACCCGCCGGCGGGTATCTGGTAGTTACGTAGAGTTGGAAAAGCCAGGGTCGGAGACGTGGAAAGAAAGAGTTGAGAAATGTGTAGACCGTGCTGCGACAAGACGAAGCGAGAGTTGAAGAGAGAGCAGAGAAAAACATCTCGTAGAAGAGACGATTGAATTACTTGGTAGATTTCAGCTTAAAGAAGTGAATTAAATATAGTTATATTCAAATTCAATTTTAGCTTCCAGATGGAAATTAGTTATTCCTCACATTTTTTTACACAGAATAACATAACGTTAATCCAACAATATACAGCACATTGCAGTATGCTACACATATAATGTAAAAAAAAAATTTGTTTCATTTCAAGCATTTTATCAAGAAATTAATTAAACATTATGTATCTATTTCAGTCTTTCTTTCAATCCATGTTCTGGAAAAGTACAAAAATTCTTCTGGTTACAGTCCATTATAATAGCGCGATCGAAGAAGGAACAAACAATATATATATATATATGTGAAGAGTCGTGTGATGTGTCTGCGGTGTGCCGTCGGGGGTGTGCGTCGTGTCGTGTCTGTGCTTGTGCACTGCTCTCTTGTATATATATCTATGGTGTTGTGCGTGCTAGTGCGGGAGCGTTTAGACTGAGTACCGTGCGGGTTCTTCCCTCTGGCTTAGTTACTCGATGGGGGAGGGTGGTGTCCCTATGGTCCTTACTGAGGTGGCGGGGCGCAGTACAGTCTACGCGGACGTTACCGGTTGGGCGCCACCTAGCTTGCGCGCGGCGTTACCGTTTCAGAAATTAACAGTTACTAATTAATGCTGCAAGTTTCCACACTTTGACGACGTACTTTGTTTGTGTATTCCTTATATTTTTCCTCAGCTATGTGCAAATTCAGGTAGTTGCCAGATGATGTGGTCACAAAATTCAATAAATAGAGCTCTTTTTGGGCTGCTGTTGCATTGCGGTCGGTATAACATGCCGCAACACTTGATAGCATTCTACCTCAGCCAAGCGATTCAATTGAACGAACGTTTAGTTCTTCATTTCTAGTGTTCAATTTCTAGAAGCATTAGACATACTGCATATTCTTCGACTCACATCTGTAGCAGATTAAGTATAGTTCCATGTTAATGTGATTTCCATGCTTTGATGAATACCTACTAACTTAGAGGTACAGATTCCGATTGAAATAATGTCTAGCAAACAAGGAAAGACACTATCATATGTCTATACGTGTGCGTGAGGCAGTCACGCAAAACGCATACTTTTTTATATAGCATATATAAATATGTGTGTCTTAAACTGGGAATGCGGCGGAGATTCACCAAAGGTTAAATGATTTTTGGTGTGGTGTAGTGAACTAGAATGAAGCGGATGAATGAAGGATGAATGAAGGGAATGAAGGGGAGAATGAAGGTGTGAGGGGATGAAGGGGCTGAATGAAGGCGTGATGATTGTTTCTGTGAAAGTAGAGGGAGAATGTAAGGTGAATGAAAGGGTGAATGAAGTGAGATGA